TATCAGATCAGTCAAATGAACAGATTTTTTGTAATTTGTGTAAAACTACTAAAATTTATTAAAATAAGTTATTACACGACTAACGACAAAACCACCACAACCCCGACCACCACCCACACAACAAATTCGTCCTTCAACAAATTGCCTTAAGGCCAATTTAAGTGGCCTTGATAGGGCATAGCGTTCGCCTTTGCCAGGTTTATTTCCACAACCTGGACAAGACAATTTGATGTCGTGTCCAGGTTGTGAAAATTCACCTTCATCGCCGGGGTCATCGGCTTCACTCTCGGCCCTAGGGTCGGGAAGGGGGTGTTCCCCCTCACCAGTAGCAGGTTGAGGAACCATCGGAGCCCTGGTGGCAGACTCCGAATGGACCAAATCAATTTTCGATATAGATCGCTTCATTACTACAAATACTGAATTTTAACTGAAAAAATAATTATTCATTTTAGTTTATATTTTTAATCTATTATAGCACTAATTCAAGAATAAAGTATGATTTTTTAAAAAAATTATCAATAAACAACGCCAAAATAACAAAAATTGTAATTAAAATTTTTTAATTTGGAGATATTTCAAAAACGATATGTTCCGTGCTAATAATAATAATATATTCTGATTCTACGTTAAATTCTACATTGATTTCATATATCAAATGTTAATTTTTAATATGTTTAAAACTCCCGATAAAAATGGTCACTACTACCGAACCTGAGGTCGGTCGGCCATATGGGTTATATCAATGGACTCCTTATGCAATGTACTTTCATTTTATATTGTCAAATCCCGGTTGCCAGCGTAGGCGAAATCCCCCATCGTACTTTTATAAACAGTTTATTCTTATGCATAAATTACATTATATAAACAAGTTTACAATCTAGATTATTTCTCTAAATTCTGAATAAAAGCATCCAGTTTATTCTCGGCGTACTTCAGGGTATTGACCAGACCCTTCTGAATTAGTTTATCCAATTCAGTGATTGGTTTATACTCTTTCACTTTCTGCACGGCATCGATGGCGGCGTCCTCTAAGAGGGCCAGACCTTTGGCCTCAACGCCCCGACCCTGTTGTTTGAGTTCTTCCACCAATACCTTTGCCTTTGAAATAAGCATTTCAGCCGTTTTGATAATACCCTCGATGTCTATACCGCCCAAACTTGTCGGTGGTTTATGGATCTCGTCCTCAATCTTCTTGATCTCTACCTCGAGGTCTACCTCTGTTTTCTCGATCAGTTTCTCCAGGCCTTCGAGCGCTAGTTTCCCGATCTTAGTCTTGGGGTCCGCTTTGTGTACCTTATCGTCCAACTCATGGAGTAAAACATCGATTTTTTCTAAACCCTTGGCCAACAGGGGTTTGCCCACCTTCTGGAGCAGCTCCTGGACCTGTTTCGAGTTGATCAACATCTCAGCCAATTTCAACAATAATTCCTCCTTGCTCAGTCCGGCAAACGAATTCATTGTGGTATTCTTGTCCAATTCAGCCTGTACACGTACAAACTCGGTCACGAGTTCTTGCTCAAGTTTCAATTCCTGTTGTTGCAAAGTTGCCAATTGGGATACTGGAGCGCTCGACACCTGTGACTTCAGGGTTTTCAGTTTGGTCAGAATGGCGCTGATACCTGTGGCCAAATCTGGTCGCTTTTCGTTCTTGGTCAATACCTCTACGGCGGAAGTGGCCAGATCAATCAAGTCGGCCAACTGGGCCAACAAAACGCCCTTGTCCACATCGGCGAATGACGTAGGTGGTTTGTGAATCTCGTCCTCGATCTTCTTGATCTCTGCCTCGAGCTCTACCTCTGTCTTCTCGATCAGTTTCTCCAGGCCTTCGAGCGCCAACTTTCCAATCTTGGTCTTGGGATCAGCTTTGTGTACCTTATCGTCCAACTCGTGTAGTAAGACATCGATTTTCTCTAAACCCTTGGCCAACAGGGGTTTGCCCACCTTCTGGAGCAACTCCTGGAATTGTTTTGAGTTAATAAGCATTTCGGCCAATTTGAGCAACAATTCCTCCTTGCTCAATGCGGCAAATGACGTGGGTGGCTTTTTATGGATCTCATCCTCGATCTTTTTCACCTCAGCCTCCACCTCAACCTCTGCCTTCTCGATCAGTTTCTCCAGACCTTTAAGGGCCAGTTGACCGATCTTGGTCTTGGGGTTAGCCTTATGCACCTTAGTGTCCAACTCGTGGAGCACAACATCGAGTTTCTCTAAACCCTTGGCCAACAGGGGTTTCCCCTCTTTCTTTAGAAAGTCCTGAACTGTCTTTGAGTTCAGCAATAGTTCAGCCAATTTTAGGATCAGCTCCTCTTTGCTCAGCGTTGACTCCGACTCCGGGCGCTCAATAGGACTGCTCTCTATCGCTGTATTAATATTTAATCAAATTAGAATTTGAACATGGTTTACAAGCAATAAATTAACAATAATAGTAAAGTACATACAATAGACAGAAAGAGCGACAATTACTGCGAATAATAATTTCATTATAATTATACTACAATTGACTTTTAAGTCTTTATTGAAATATAATATTAAAATTAAAAATTAGTTGATTTAACTAAAAAGTGTTTGATTTTATACGTTAATGAAAATTGTGGGAATGTCATCACCTGTTACATGAAATACCAGGATCATAGGGTTTCACATGAAATACATTCATGTGATTTTCTTGAACATGTCATAAATAATTTTTAGTTAGTACATAATTATTACTAGACAAATTATCCACAGTAGTTATAATGGATGTGATTTAATGTAAACTGTTAATTAAATAATAAATACTAGTAATAAATGTATTAATTTTAATTTAAAAGTTGACATTATAAAATTTAATTAAATTATATAATATAGTTATTTAAATCAAATCTATTATTCAATTCAATAAGATCGGTGTTTAGACCCCAGAGAAAATAATGACAGGTGCAATTTAATCTAATAATGTGAGATAAAAAGCATATTATTTATCTTTTTAAATGTCATATGAGTTTTATATTATGTAATTTATAAAAATAATACTTAAATCCAAACAACACAATAATAATTAAAATAAGTATAAATTATAGATTGTCCGATTGCTCGAATATAGTGTTAATTAAAGTACCATTTTAAAATTAATCATACCAATTATTGGCACGACAGGACCAGCTTGATTATACAAACCTTTTGTAAAGTTATAAATTAAACGACTCTATATAATTTTTTTAATATTGAGACACAACACTTTTATAATAAAATAATTTTTACAAAAATAGCAACAAGAATACAAAACTTTTATTATTAAACGAATTGTACCAAACTCAATTTGTACAAATGATATAACAACAGTATTTAATACATGATTTTTACAAATAGAATTACTGCGTTAAATTCTGAATAAAGTTATCCAATTTAGTCTCTGCCCATTTCAGTTTATTAACCAGATCATTTTGAATTAGGCGCCCAATCGCTGTCAACGGCTTATACTCTTTGACCTTTTGGAGGGCATCGATAGCCAAGTCCTCCAATAGGGCCAGTCCTTTGGCCTCGAGGTCACGACCTTTTTGCTTTAGCTCTTCCACCAACAACTTTGCTTTATCGACAAGCATTTCACCCGTTTTAATCACATCAGCCATATCATTAGCCGTCGCCAACGATGTCGGTGGCGCTAATTTTTGAATAAAATCATCCAGCTCTTTCTCCGCAAACTTCAATGAGCTGACCAGACCTAGTTGTACGAGTTTATCCAACTCAGTGATTGGTTTATACTCTTTGACCTTTTGGACGGCATCGATGGCGGCGTCCTCTAAGAGGGCCAGACCTTTGGCCTCAACGTCCCGACCCTGTTGTTTGAGCTCTTCCACCAATACCTTTGCCTTTGAGATAAGCATTTCAGCCGTTTTGATAATCCCATCGATGTCCAGACCGGCTCTCATTGTGGGCGGTTTCTTGTGGATCTCGTCCTCGATCTTCTTGATCTCTGCCTCGAGCTCTACCTCTGTCTTTTCGATCAGTTTTTCCAGGCCTTCGAGCGCTAGTTTCCCGATCTTAGTTTTGGGGTCCGCTTTGTGTACCTTATCGTCCAACTCGTGGAGTAAGACATCGAGTTTTTCCAAACCCTTGGCCAACAGGGGTTTACCCTCTTTCTTGAGAAAGTCCTGAACTGTTTTGGAGTTGAGCAGCATTTCAGCTAATTTGAGCAACAATTCCTCCTTGCTCAATCCCATGGTCAATTTCAATGTGGGTGGCTTTTTGTGTATTTCATCCTCGATCTTCTTGATCTCAGCCTCCAGGTCTACCTCTGCCTTAGAGATGAGTTTCTCCAGGCCTTCGAGAGCCAACTTTCCAATCTTGGTCTTGGGATCAGCTATGTGTACCTTATCGTCCAAGTCGTGCAATAGTGTGTCCAACTTCTCCAAACCCTTAGCCAACAGTGGTTTACCCTCTTTTTTAAGGAAGTCCTGAACGGTCTTTGAGTTGAGCAACATTTCGGCCAATTTGAGCAGCAATTCCTCCTTGCTCAATCCGGCAAACGACGTGGGTGGCTTTTTGTGAATTTCATCCTCGATCTTCTTGATCTCGGCCTCCAACTCCTTCTCGGTCTTTGCGATCAGTTTCTCGAGCTCCTGAAGGGCCAGTTGACCGATCTTGGTCTTGGGGTCAGCCTTATGCACCTTCTCGTCCAACTCGTGGAGCACAACATCGAGTTTCTCCAAACCCTTGGCCAACAGGGGTTTCCCCTCTTTCTTAAGGAAGTCCTGAACTGTCTTTGAGTTCAGCAATAGTTCAGCCAATTTCNGAGTTTCTCCAAACCCTTGGCCAACAGGGGTTTCCCCTCTTTCTTAAGGAAGTCCTGAACTGTCTTTGAGTTCAGCAATAGTTCAGCCAATTTCAGGATCAGCTCCTCTTTGCTCAGCGTTGACTCCGACTCCGGGCGCTCAATAGGACTGCTCTCTATCGCTGTATTATGTTATGAATAAATTAATTTATTAACATGGTTAAATTATAAATTATTCATAAGGAACATGTTTAATAATTAATATAAATCACACTTACAATAGACAGAGAGTGCGATAATCGCCGCTAATAACAATGTTCTCATTATTAATTTTATTATTATTAATTTATTTGATAAATAATTAAATAATAATAATTAATATTTACTAAAATATTCACACCTTTTATACTTGTAATTTGCTTGAATAAATGATATTTTATTATTGAAGATAAACATGGTCAAAGGTTTAAACAATAGATTCTAGGTATAATAGGCCACTCCTATTTATAAATTGAAATACTTAAAATTATTGATAATTAATGTCAGATTATTGTTAATAATATAAGTTAAGTAGTTGTATAAAAACAAAGTTTATAAACGTCAAAATAACACAAAATCAAGTCAAATATATTTGATCAACGTAAAATAGGATTAAATTTATAGATTAGTTACAAAGTCAATTTTGCTCTAAAATAGATTGAAATTATTCCTAATAAAGAATGACATTGTTAAATTTTAAAATTGCGCAGAATTATAGCCATTAATAGATTAATAACTTAATATAAAAACTGTATAGATAATAAAAGTAACAAAAAATACATTAATCACTTGTAAAATAAAATATCTCTTATAGTATTGCATTGTAAATATTTAGTAATATTGCAGATCAACAAAATCAATTATCTGAGTTTTGTATTAATATATCCAGTTTATCCATAGTGTATTTTAACGAGTTTACAAAACCTTTTTGAACCAACCGGCCCACTCCAGTATACGGATTATAATCTTGTACCTTTTTCAACAATGTCTTAACACCACTGACTAACACAGCCATACTCTTGGCCTCAACCGCCCGACCTTTTGAATCCAACTCATCAGAAAGCTTATTAGCCCTGTCTATCATTAACTCGGCTTGGTCAATTATGACCGGTATATCGTAGCTATTATTACCATCGCGTATTTCGCCTTCAATCAATTTAATCTCGGCATTTAGATCTATTTCAGTATGTTCAATCATGATCTCCAACCCCTGTAACATTGACTTTCCCGCATCAGACTGGGGGTCCGCTTTGCTCACCTCTGTATAGGTGCCATTCAATAGGCTGTCCAACATTTTTAAACCTTTGGCCAAATGCTTTTTGTCCAATTTGCTTAAGAGATCCTGGGCAGTCTTGGAGCTCAATAATAATTCAGCTACTTTATCGCGTAGTCTCTTTTTAGCCTGTTCAGTTTCTGTATCGTTCACGTGGGTATCACTTATTTCACCCGTGCTGTCGCTTATCTCGGCATTAAGATCACCCTCGGCAATAATCACTAGATCTTCCAAGCCCTTGAGCGTCAACTGACCCTGTTCATCGTTCGGGTCGGTGTTGTTCACTTTGGTCTCTAAATCGTGCAAAACAAGGTCCAATTTCTCCAGACCCTCGGCCATGAGTGGATTACCCTGTTGTTGTAGCATATCCTGTACCGCTTGCGAATTGAGCAATAGTTTTGCCACTTTTTTAATTAATTTTTCTTTGGTAAGTGGCAAACCTATGTCTCGTTTGTTAATTGATCTAGCTCGAATATCTGTATAAAATCAATTTATTATGCATATTTCATTTGATCAAGATGCGAATTGATGATACGTACAACAGATTAAAGTTAAAACGATCACGATCATTATTAATGTTTTCATTGTGTTTTTATAAGATAGATGTTGTCTTAATCTATTAGAAATTCAATTTAATAAAATAATTAATAATATAAAATACTTTCAATGATAAGTAATTTTGATAGTTTTGTTTTCAAAACATATTTAGTACCATTTCATAATACGTTCAAGGTTCAAATTCATTTTAGTACATTATGATATAATTATAATACCTTGAACTTTATAAAAGAATAATCCAAATATTTTATAATGTGTTAACTCGATAAGCAAAATGTCAATAATTTAATAAAGTAAAATATACCTGATATATTGTAGAAATATCACTCATTGATAACAAAATAAAATCAGTACGTAATATTAATGTTTGTTTATTATAAATGTCATTTCGTGTTTAACTATAATTTATAAACAATAATCAAAATAAAATTTAATAAAATTTTAGATTATTTACAATTGACAATAAGAAAACAATAAGCAATTTAAAAGTTTTTATCATTATGATCTGATGTCTTTTATTTTTATTATAATAGCTGTTAATTACTTAAATTAATAATATAGTAACACAAGTTATAAACTATTCTAGCATTATTTTATTTTAAAATTAGTATATTTACAATTGATTTATTTGTCGTTTATTCAAAATATATATTTATTAAATGTTAAAAATTTTAAATAATTAATTGAGAGAGAGAGAGATTTTAGGTATAAGAATATTTATAGAATATTACACTTACATTTGTATATTAATGAATAGAAAATAATTACCTGTACATGAACAATTAATAATAAATTATTGAATAACTTTTAACAAATAGTCTGACACCTAGTTTTTGTATTTAACACTACATAGTTGGATTTGTTAGATTTAGTTGGATTTACTTGACAACAGAGGTATTTAATAAATCATACAAATGTCGGTAAATTATCATTAATACTACATTTCCAAGTTTTTAGTTGAGAAAGCATTGTTGTCTCAACTCGTGTTTTAGTGCACAGGGTAATTTCCCATCCAATAAAAACAATCACAAATAATAATAAAAATAAAATCATTATGGTAATTGCCGCCGCACCATAATTATTAAATGATAAATAAATAAACATGACAATTATTATTGTGAACAAGGTTGAGTTTACATAAGTGAATGCTTTCATCCAGAACATGATGCTTTTAAATAAATTGTGGTTAAAGTTTTGCAAACATTCGTTAATATCCTTTAGATATACATAGCATGGCTGAACTCGAATGGTCCCAATTCTCAGAGTCAGTACGTTTATTATATTCAGATATTTAAATTTAAATTCTATGTATAACATATACACTACTATTGACCAACCGCTGAAGTACAGGTAATAAACCATGAACGTTATGTTATTATAAATTGTATTATCATTTAAATATGTTTGTATTTGATGTTTATTAATAATTCCATCGTTAAATATTATGTACTGTCTGAAAGAGACTATAATGATGTATATTATTATATAAATTGTATTAAGCATTAAATATTGATATTTTAATGAGTATTTTAGATAATAGTAATTCAATTCACGAATTAAATTAATAATCAACACCGAGTTATATTTGATGTATGCGTACGACAGTAAATATACAATGTGTTCAATAAAGACAATAATTTTACAAATGATTAACAGGTAGTGATCGGTGGGAGAGAATGAAAGTATTAGATATACACTCACTGTTGCAAATGATGTCAAGAATATTCCGGACAATAAGTGTTGAATCATATTGTGTTTACAATTAATGCCATATGGAACCATGGTATATTCAATCATTGTAACTAAATATCCCAACTTATTAATCAACTACTAGAATAATAATTAATAATAATTAAGATTATAATTATTAGGATAATATTAACTTAAGTAATTAAAAATTGATTTTGATAGAAAACATCACTGAAATATATAAATTTACTTTAACCATAACAATACATATGTATGTTATTATAATAAAATGTTATTATCAAAAAATTAATCGTGTTTATACAAGTAACCTTTACATTTATTCTACAATTCAAAAACCCATATACATATAGTACATCTTATACTGTTATAAAATAGCGATTTAAAACTTAACAGAATTCTATTGTTTGTTTTGTAGAATATTCAACACTTGTACTAATGCATATGGCTTTATACACGAATATACTGTACAGTATATACAAAATCTATGACAAATACTTATATTACACGATTCACTATAATTGCATTTTTACAATCACTTAATCCAATTTGAAACGAAATTATTACTAAAATACTAAAAATTATTAAATGAAATTTTGTTGTTAAATCATTATGATTTATAAAGTATGCGCACAGTTTGCTTACTTCTTACTAAACATTATAGTTAACAAAATTAAACCATTTTGCTGATACGGTCTAATTCTCACTCAATCATTCTCTTTACTTATATAAAAGTACATTGTACATTTGTATAAGATCAATAATATTAATATTGCATAACTCACAAGATATAATTGTAATGTCTTTTTAAAACATGTTAGGCAATAGAATAACAAGAATTTTGTATTTATGGGATCAACAATAGGATTATCAAGATTTTAACGAAATATACAAATCTCTCTCTCTCTCTCTCTCTCTCTCAATTAAAAAAAGATATTATTTGCTAAGTCTTCACATAAATATTGAGAATTTAATAAATTGAGAAACTATATTTTATTTATAAAATACACAAATTTATTAAACATCAATGCAATACAGTATGACTTTGGTTATTATAATTTATATTAACATACTAAACTATAATTCTGTTTTTTTTAATTATGTGGTTATTCAGTAAATTAAGCAAATGACGGTAAATTATTATTTATATTACGTTTCCACGCATGTATCTGACTGATCATATATATCTCTACACGAGATTTTATATACAAATTAATTTCCAATACAAAAAACACAATTAGCATTATACTAAAAAACACACTCATTATAATAATTATTGTAGTTACATATTTAGAGCAAGAAACATAAATTATATAAATAAGCATCATAATAATTATTGCAAACAAGGTCATGTTTACGTAGGCAAATATTTTAGTCCATAATATAACGCGTTTTAATGAATTTTGGCAAAAATGTTGCAAAAATTTCTCAATATTTGTCAAATAACGATAGGATGGCTGTTCACGAATGGCCCCAACTCTCAGCCCTTGTGCGCCAATAATATGCAGATATTTAATGTATAATTCAATGTAAACGATGTACACTACTAGTGACCAACCACTCACATACACATAATAAACACCAAATGTTAGGTTATTATAGATTTTATCATCATCCAAAAAGTGTTGAATTTGTTGTTTATTAATTAATTCATCGCTGAATATCACATACTGTCGAAATGATACCACAATTATATACATTATTACACACATTATATTTAGTAATTTATAACTAAATTTTAACGAATATTTAATATAATATTCATTCAATTCTTGATTTAGATTTTTAATTAATTGTGTATTATATTTAATGTACGCATAGGATAGTAAATACACCATGTGTTCAATAAACATAAAAATTTTACATATAATAAATAAATAAGTATCGTTCACAGAGAATGAGATAATAAAATACACAAACACTGTCACGAATGTTGTCAAGTATATTCCGGATAGAATGTGTTGAATAACATTGTTTTTACAGTTAATTCCGTACGGAATCATGATCAATTCAATCATTTTTAACACAATTATATTAATGTGATTTGGAATAAAATTATATAATGTAAAGAATGGATATATATTAAACAATGGCTTTATGTAACAAATAATAAAATATCATTAGTTAATATTTTAACGGCAAAGGATTTATAATTATTTTAATACTGTACTTTTAAAATCAAATGAATTTTAATTAATAATTTAGCATTTTTATAATTTTAATATATACAATACATTGCTCACAATATAATCATAAGATCAATACAATTGTATTCTGTAGTTAGAATAAAAGATAAAATTCCGTACTAAACAGTATCAGCCGGCAATTTCACTGTTATTGCCTTAAATATGCGGCATATTTGATGTGCATGATGTGGACCAATAATAATATTATATTATTGTCAATAAATTGTATTTAAAAAGCACTTAAAATATTATTGTAATATATTTTATATTATGTGTGTTTAGTCTGTATAAGAAATTTTGTTTTGTTGGAATAAACAATAGAAATTTCCAATAGCAATATAAATTGAGAATTAGCCTACAGGTAAAGTATTACAATTTATTATCCGTTATATTGCACAGCATCAATGTTGTTTGATCATAAAATAAAATCAATTTATAAAACTTCAAGTACTATGCAATGGATTGATATCTACCTTAACAAATACAATCCAATAAGAATATATGTGATGTAGTTGCATTTTCCCATGTAAAAGATTTAGATGATTATATTTATTTTATTAAAATCAATCCAGCCGTTCTCAAATGCGTGCCATTTTAAAATTTGACTTTTCAAGAAATTACACTAAACGCATAAAAAATTATTTATAACAAACTAATATTAGCTAAATCATTAAATAATAATAGAATAGAATATAAATAAACAGTTTATTAGTTAATTATTTAAAAATATATATAAATACTTTGAATAATAATTAATTTCAAATAAAATAACCAACAAAATTTATATAATGTATAATTTATTTAATGTCATACTTTATAAAGTGTATAATTATTTTGAATTACATTTCTTGTAAATACGTGTCCTCCAGTTTGATATACCAGTCCATCCAATACACCAATTGTATTGTTTGGGATATTTAAATGTTTTAGCATTTAGAGCATCGGCCGCTTCGTAAGCCCAGTGAGGATTGTTTAAAAGTGCCCGACCTATCATTATAAGTGAAGCCCCATTACTCTGCAGTATATTTTCGGCCACAAACGGGTCTACGATTTGACCGACAGCTGCTGTGGCCAAACCTACAGTCTGCTGTATAACTGCCGCCGCATCTAATTGTTCCCGACATGTGTTCAACGAGGTTTGTCCCCCATTCAGCGTGAACCCCGATGAACTGCAATCCAAGAAATCTATGCCAATTTGTTTTAATTGTTTTGCAAATTCAATGCTTTGCTCTAAATCCCAGCCCTCCTTATGGTATTCAGTGACGGATATTCTCACACCTAATGCAATGCTATCGGGTATAGCATCGCGTACTCCCCGCGCAATCTCCACACCAAAACGCATCCGATTCTCGAGACAACCGCCATATCTATCCAACCGGTGGTTAGTTAGCGGCGACAGAAAACTGCCCACTAAATAACCATGTGCGAAATGCAATTC